TTTTTAGTAACTGCGTTTCATTTTCTTCTGTTGTCGGATGCTAAGAGCCTCCTGTCTGGGCATCCTCGACTTCAATGGCTCAACTCCCTTGCCATGGACGTACGAAAGGGGAGTCCAGGGGGGCCCGGCTCCCCCTAGAATTGAAAAGTATCATCTGCCCCCCTCAAAAAAAAAATTTAAAGATATTTTGAATGTAACAATTCGAAAGTATTTGGTGCTGAAAGTAAAAAAAAGGCGTAATTTTCTGCAGAAATTGATGGAAAATCTCCATCATAAGAGCTTCAAAATGCGTCTAAATAGATTTAAAATTTCAAAAATTTCCCCGGGGAGGCCCCCCGGACCCCCCTCTGTGCTAGGGGCCCGGGCCAGAAAACTGGTACCAGGGCCCGAGGTGGGATGTGGCGGGCCTGGCCTGAAGGCTCATACGACGTTCTTTCTTATCACGGCAGTAGGTACACTGAAAAAAAGGTGCTTGACTCAAGCATGATAATTTTTGAATTTGCCGCCAAGAATTTGAGTTATCTTGAGTTAAGCTGAATTTTTCTTGACACAAGCAAAATAATGCTTGGGTTAAGCAAAAAACCAGTTTCTATTAAATAGTAAAATTCTTGATTTAAGAAAAAATACTTCTTAGCGGCAAATTTAAGATTCTTTTTTTTTTCAGTGATAACCATTCCTCCCTCTTCTGCTAGGCATTTTCCATTGAGTTTCCTCCATTGCTGAAGCTCATCCACGATGCACCTGGTGATCGAAGTAATTATAACTTGATCGGATATTAATCAGATCAAGATCATGGATTATGAAACCGATCGTATGTAAATCGGGCCTCTCTGGTACCGCCTGGACGCGGTGAAATCCTGAATGCTATAATTAGATCGGACGTATTTCTGCCAAACGGAACTAAGTGCATTATGACGCGAGCCCTGTAATGCATATATTCTTATGGGCCTCAGGGCTCATGTCCGAATGCAAATGGTTCCGTTTGGCAGAAATACGTCCGATTGGGAGCCGGGATTGAGCAATCTCGCGGGAAAATATCGCGTAGAGGCGCGACAGATTCGCTTATCTTTCTATCCTGCGTTAAAGTCCCTAGCGTCGTGACAGGTACGCTGTTGGAATTGGGAATTCTTCCAGCTGTCAGTTTACCCCATCGAAAGACAAGCTTTTCTAGAGCACTATTCTCCTTGTTTAGGAAAAACGCCGAACACATATCGATATATGTTGAAACCACAAGATCACGTATCTCGGTTTGCCACGTTGCAGACTTCCTCTCGTATTTTATATTTTAAACGGAAAATAATTGTTCGAAGCCAATTCTTGAAAACTTCCGTGATTTTTTTCTCTGTGTGAAGAAAACTCTGAAAACTTCAAGGAATGGTCTTGATTTGTTCTCCTTCAAAAAATGAAATGGAAACGAAGATATATAAACACCGCAACATTCAGTCCATCTGCACTGCCGTGCTAAGGAAGAACGCTGTACAAAAATTCAAGAGTTGCTAAATTTCCCCAGATAAAATACCTATTTTTGTGAAAAGTTATGCATGTTTTTACTTGAAATTTTCAATCACTGCAAATGAAATTTAGAGTGAAATTGTCGGAGAAATTGTCAAGAAAAAGATTCACAATTTTTCCAGTAAATTGGTATTTACTCAAAGGAAATATGACAACGTTAGAATACTTACACGACTTTCTTGCTCAGCACGGCGGTATGCTACCGTGCTAAGGAAGAACGCCGTATAAACATTCGAGTGTTGCCAAATTTCCTCTAAGTAAATACCAATTTACTGGGAAAATCGTGAATCTTTTTACTTGAAATTTTCAGAATTTTTAGATAAAATTGCGAACTAAATTATCTGAAAAATTGGAAGGAAAATATTCATACGTTCACCAGAAAATTCGTGTTTTATCAAAGGAAATTTGGCAATGTCTGAAGATTCATACGGCGTTTTTCCTTAGAACGGCAGTATGCTACTCCACAATTCTCGCGCCGGCCGATGGACGCTTGTGGACTGGAGGTGTGTTCATGCAGAACGCCAACAAAAAGGTGCGAGCCCATAAAATAGCGAAAACAAAGCGAAGCCGGAATCATAATTGAACGCATTTAAATCAAAAGGCATTATATCCACCATGACGTTAGCATTATCATACATGCATCCTTATGGATCTCGAAGCTCATGTCGGAATGGGTAAAGTTCCTTTCGATTTGAATACATCCAATTGGCGGTGCGCGCGTCGGGCGAAGCGTCGCGACACGGCGCAGGAGTGCACCGTGGGTTCCTTCTCAGGCGACCTTGGCCGGCCGTGAATGCACATGCAGTTTTGAACTTGGAACTTGGAGCTAGCGCGCGCCGAAGACGGTGAGTTGAATCTGGGCGCGCGCACATGGGACAACGCCTTCGGGTGTCGCAACTGCTCACTGAATTTTGCTGCGGGCTGATTATTGAAATTGATAGACAAAGCAATAGACAAAGAAGACAAAAATGATATGAAGGGATCCTATTGGTGGTTGCAATGGACAAAGAACGTAGGTATAATACCAATTATCATTTATGCTGCTTAATTCTAAAGTAACTGTGGCACACCACTGAGATTTCAAATTTACAAAATGAAGCATCATGGTGATCAGATTTTCTTGTAATGGGACAGTATGTGTCCCAAAGTATGCGTGCGCAAAGTCCTGATTGGAGTTACGGTGTTTTTCCTGTGCACGGCAGATATGGCGGCCATCGAATCCCCTCCGATAAAAATTAAGACGTCTTTTTTACTCACAGACTTTAATGCAAAGTTAAGAAAATAGAAAATGAGCTGCTTGAACATCATGCACCTAAACTTTTTTTACAACCCCAGCGGGCTGATTATTGAAATTGATAGACAAAGCAATGGACAAAGAAGACAAAAATGATATGAAGGGATCATTGGTGGTTGCAATGGACAAAGAACGTAGGTATAATACACTAACTAACGGCAACCCACGAAAAGACCCGATAGTTAGTCCATCATTTCCCCCTTAGTCTATAAGAACCACCCATTTCAACCTATAGGATCGCTTTATACTCCGTATGTCTTCTTTGTCTATAAATTTCAATAATCAGCCCGCTGGGGCTGTAAAAAAGGCTCTGGCGCATGATGTTCAAGGAGCACATTTTCTATTTTCTTAACTTTGCATTAAACTCTCCTTGTTTTCTCCTATTAAGCTCCAGTGGAACCCCAAATTTGGAAATCATAACAGGTGCCGCAGTGCAGAGCCAAAAATATGTCAGGGAGAGCCGAACGGTAAGTTTGAAAATTGATTCGACTCAAACTAACACATTTTTAGCATGGAAGCAGGAAATGAGGAGCTATATGTTAAGAGAACTCTAGCCAAAGACCGTGGCCTCTGGGACCGAGGTTTTTGATTCTGGCTGCCAAAAGTTCAGCACAGTGTACAATAGCTTTCGGCAGTTTGAGGAAGTAGTTTCGGCTATAGCTGCCGAGCTTTTGGGGATGCAAATCGTGCCGAGAAAGAGGCCTACAAAAATAGGGCCGAAATCTACCCGTTTTGGGGCCCATGAAATCGCGGTCCGAGTAAGGTTATTTCTCATCCTTAGGATGACCCTTTACATATACTAAAATTTCAGATTGAGTATACAAACCTTAATCACTTCCTTACCTTTAAATGGTTAGTGATACTCACCAAACGAAATCTTGGCTGTTAAACAAATTCCAGAGGACTTTGCTGAACAGCAAACGAACGGTAATTTCAGGGGCTTGATATTGAAGTCGTGAGGGTAAAAATTTCTTGGTGTCGCTAGGAGGCTGATGGCGAGTCTCCAATGAAATGTTTAAGAAATATCCTTGCAATCATTGCTACATATTTTTCCATTTTTAGGTTTGTCGATACTGGGGCCTATCTTCCGTAAACAGTCACAATCAAGAAAAATGTTTGTCTTTTCAGGATACATTGAGATTTTTTTCTCTTCTCATAGTATTAACGAATATTAAAAATTTGAACGGTGAGGGATTTTCCGTAAAATCCGTTACTTTGTGGATCGTATAACGATCTCTTACAAGGAGAGAAAAGTGGCATCAAGCTCAGAATTTCGTAAACATTTGTAAACTAGTTTTTTCTCCTTGTTACTTTATCTTCTCTCATACCTGATCTCAAACTAGCCCATCGTTAGAGGGCTCTAGCATTGAAAAAAAAGAAGAAAAAAACAGCAAGATAACGCTAATAAGCATTTGGATTGAGTTTATCAGAAAGGAACTAACCCACATTTTCGAACAAATTAGGTTAAACATGTTTTTGAGTTCTATTAGCCGTATATTTTGTCTGAACACAAAACAAAGCTGACGCACTACAACGATTGAAAGTCGAAAAACAGAAATTACTTCGTGAAAAGAGGGGTCAAAGTTTATTTTCTACATCAAGCCTTATGCAGGAATAAAACTTCATACCTTTTTTTCTAAGGTTCAACTTAATGTGAGTTGGTTCCATTCTGATGAACTCGGTCTATTTATTGAACTGTGTATTTTATAAAAAATTGCTGAATTTTTTTTTCAATTTTGACTTCTCTGTATTGATTTTTATTTTGTATTGGAGTTTGGGTAGAAGGTCAAGCAAGTATTTATTAGTCATCCGTCGACGAATTTTTTGTGAGTTCAACCCGGATACGTTACAGGTGAGTTACAAATGCGATTCGAAAAACTGCATCACGTATTTTATACACAGCCCTTAAACCGATACCCCACTTCAGTGCAAATCTCGAGCAGAAGAAAATTCTGCTCCAAATACGGGCCCAAGCCGTCGTGTTACAATTCGATTTACATAATTAAAAGCTCGAGCCAATAATTGGTGGGACGATAGATAGCGTTATAACAGGAATGCGTGTAGGTATGGCCGTATCGACGTTTCGATACATCGAATTGCGATTTTTCACCGGCGTTTGATGGGCGCGTCATCGAGCTATCGATGGTGATCGATGGAGAGCGCGGCGCTGAGAGCGGATCCCGGCTGTGGTCTCAAGGATTCAAACAGCGCGCCTCTCGATGGTATATAAGACACGCGGTTTCCTCGTCAAAGGGTAGATTACTCCATTAAGTGATTTCTGCACGGTCGCGAATCGTACATAGTTCACTTACCCTCACCAATCACCATGGCCCGCTATCTTGTAAGTACACGTTTGGTTTTTACCCTGATTCGCTGTGTTATTTCAGCGCGTGTTTTCAATTATCATTCGTATATATATTTTTTTCAAGGGGTTACCATATTTAAATGTGCCCAGTTTAATTTATCGGGAATTTTTTTGGAACTGAGTACAGTTGAAAAAAAAATGATGAATCAATTTTTTTTAAAAAAAACTCGCGACTTTCACCATGATTTTTTTTTTTTAAAAATAAAAAAGAGCATCAGACAACAACAAAAATCGATATTAAAAATGTTTGTAAAAAAATTGATTTATCACTTATATATTCTTTCGTTGTTTATTTTAAAATTCTATCACTTATAATTTAGTTAAGTTTTTGTTACTGCGTTACACGTTCCAATCCCCTTCATTTAAAGGATAATCAATGAGCTTATTTTAGAGCATTGGCGTTTTCCTAAGAAAATTCTTTTGGAAAGTGAATTCAGAAATTTAAGCATTTTTTTTTAAAATAATTATGATTTGTTCGAAAAACTTTTTGAGTATAAGAACAAATAGGTACAGTAAATAATCGCCTAAGAATATTGAGTATTTTTTGAGTGATATATTTTCTTTAATTCATTCTTTGAGAAATAAAAAACTGATTCTGAGTCTTGTGTGCCACGGGGTTTGTTTCAAAAGAAAACGAAGAGTTTGAATTTCGCGGGATGGCACGGTAGTACCACGTGGTTACACTGAAACTAAGAATCGTGTCCAAAGCAAGAGTCAATCAAATGAATGCAACATTTAGTTTTTTAAAAGGAAAGAACTCGAAGAAATCTATTTAAACTTCCCCTACTAATTTATTTATAAACAATTTAATAGTAGTTTTAATCATTTTGTTTTTAAATACTTCAATTTTGGTCCTCTCTTTTAAATTAAGTCATATCACGTATACCATGCTTGTAGTTGTCCTTCTGCAACGAAACAATTGGATTGCATTTTGCAAAAAGGAACCAAGAGAATTTCAATGTTGTGCAACTTACATTCTTTGAATAAAATTACTGAAATCATGCATGGAATTGAAATTTACAAAAGTAATTTTCGTCTTCAACTCATACTGCTTCTGAGATCCAAATTGATCTTTAATCTTGAAAATGTGCAAGGCTTTCCTCCATCCATTAAATATTGTATGTGTTGATCATAACGACCTTTAGTCTAGGATACATTAAATGGGCCCTCTCTCTTGATGTCCTTTGGAAACTTAACGATTATGCCTACGCGAGTCTTTCTTCGTTTACTCTTTCGCAAAACTTTAATCTTTGATTTGCAAAAAAAAAAAAAAAATAAATAAAAAAAAAAAAATAAATATCACAAATACCTCTTATTTTTACTTGATTTAAGAAATGCTTACAAGTGGCACCATGAAAATAGGTCCAACGACATTAATATTTTTAATCGAGTAATTAAGGATTTTACTTGAAAGTAGTTCCCTGTCCAATGCACTGTTCAGTTCCACCATGCAGTTTTCCTTTTTAAACACAGTATGTAAAACTCAAAACTTGGTTTTGCTCAGACTCATACTGCTGTCCACAGGAAATACGCCGTAATTCCAATCAAGACTTCGCATTTTTCTCCCAGACATGCTGTTCTATTACGAGATAACTTGATCTATATGATGCTTCATATCATAAATTTGGATTCTCAGTGGTGTGGCATAGGTATTTTAGAATTAAGAAGGATAGATGGTCGTTGGTCTTTCGGCAATAAAATATTTTCTCAGTAAAGAGTTGAAGAAATCAAGAATGGGCTTATGGCGTTTTTGTTTAGGTCGGCAGCATAGTTTGCACACTCCAAATTATTTTAACTTTTTTTACTCCAAGATATTACAAATGGAGAATTTGCAGGTGTCTGAAATTTGATGCATTCCGTGTTTAAGTGGACGCTACCAAGAGGCGCTGAAGACGAGGATACCCTTAGTTAATAAATTGAACAATTATTGGGGGAGATACGACAAAATAACCTAATCTGCTAAAATACATATGTGTTTAAATGGGAAATGCCGCCAGATAACTTCACTAGACGGTGCATTTTCTCACTCTAAAATCTATTTTTCTACTATTTCCCATATCAGAAAAAAGTATAAAAAATACTGTGAAATCAACTCTTTAGGCACTTTCAGATGAAGCAATAAAAACATTGCGTGCAAATTCTCCATTCAGGGTTTTGCGACTGCATCATCTCATTTGGCTAAATCCACACTTTTCAATATCTTATCACTTTCATGTCTATATTTCAGGCTGTTTTGGCTCTTGCCCTCCTCGCTGTGATCTCATTGGCTGCCGCTGCGCCCGCCTCCGACAACGGACCAATCGCCGCGTCGGATGCCAAGGCTGCCCCAGTGGCCGCCGATGCCGAACCCAAGGAAGCCCTGAAGGGCGCCGAATCCGCCTACTACCCCTATGTCGCCCCATACTACGCCTACTCTCCGTACTACGCACCGTACTACCCCAAATACTACGGCTACCCCTACGTCTACCCTCACATCTACGGCTAAGAAACCAAACACGACTCGGTCTCGCAGACACGAGAGAAAAATCGGTAAGATCGACCAAGAATGCAAAATCTGTGTGGAATAATAACATCTGGACGGGTAACCATCCAGAGATCTCATTAACATTGGCGGAGCCAGCAAATTGGCAACATTGTATTTTTTCCATTTAAACCTATGGAAATGTATCGATTCTTGGAGGGGCCAGGTGCTCCGACAAGAATCGATTATTTAGCATAGGTTTAAATGGAGGCATGGGGTGTTGCTAATTTACTGGATCCGTCTCTGCTCATCAAATTTAAAAAATAATTGATTGCTACAGTAATTTTACTGGAGAATTTGATAATTAGCTACTCCTGGTGCAAATCCGCAGTTTGGTCGAATTTTCAAATATCTTGGTTAATTTCACCGGTTTTTTTTCTTGTGGGGTGCAAAAACGTCAATTTCGATTTTGACGATTTTACCTTTATTCGGTTCAATCTGATGCATCGATGCTGCTCAATGATGATTGGTGGAGTGTCGATGTAGAATATTGAGCTTTGAGACCGAGCATGTCCGCATCAACTTTCCTGCCTCTTCAAATTAAAGCTCAACTCACAGACTGAAAATCCTTGGCAAGGAGCTCAAAAGCGCCTCCAAAAAAGTTATTACAGAACGAAAGTTAGTGGTTCCCACGGAGCCACTGTCGTTGTTAATGTACCTCAAGTGTTCACTTTGTTTGTTTTCAAATTCCAAAGTTTTTGTACTTTCTGATTTCTTTTTCACAATAAAAGCATTGAAAACAAATTTTCCGTTTCTATTCTGACATTTTACTTCTCGCAACTTTCCCTTAAGCTTATCTAGTGGTCCATTCAATACAAATAAACTGTTATTTCTTCTATTTTTTTTATTCCTGAATTTCATCTTAATCTTTTTATTGCTAGTAGATTGCAAATATCTAACGATCACTAATTTTACGAAGTCTTTAATAAGTATGTTGTTATATTAACTTTACCAACGGTCAACAACATCAACAAGAGTAAACTCTAGGAATAATATACAAGTGGAATAAAAATTATCTCGACCGCATATGAGCAAGTCCTGTTCAATGCAAATGTTTCATAGGCCACCTCAAAAAATCTAGTGTTTCAACTGCTACCTTTTTTTTGTGACAGTAAATGTTGAAAAATTATCTTTCAAGGTTAGACAAGAATTCACATCGATGGAAAGTTAATAATCAAAAATGCAAACGAATATATATATTTAAAAAAATTTCACACGAATTGAACAAATTGAAGCTTTACCAGGCACAGAACTGAAATTTCAATGAGATATAATTTTGAAGCTATCGATGACATTATTCCTATGAATTTGTTGTGTATACTAGAGGGGACACAAGGCAGTGAGGTCGTTACAACGCCTCGAGAAATGTCACCTCGGGTCACCTCGAGAGGGACGACACTATTAGCGCATAAATGTTGATCTTTAGGATGTGGGTACAGCGGGTAAAGCGGATGCAGCACTAGCACTTATAGCAGCAAAGGCACTGCCGAGACTGCTGACTAGGTCGCAAGGCAAAGTATTATCAATGAAATTACTAATAATGGCGTTGATAGCAGGGCAACTGAGGGTTTGAGTGGCCGGCTGAACCAGCTGATTTTGAGCTGCCTGCTGGGCCGCCCCCTGCTGAAGCTGAACCCCCGTCCCGGTCCCCGCCTGAACGAGCTGCTGAGCCACCTGAGCCTGGGCGGCACATAATGAAATCAACCCACTCACTCCAAAGGAAGCAAGGAAGACCAGATTTAAAATTCTCATTCTGGAGAGGTAAGTTTTCCTTTTCAAACCAGGAAATAAGGAGACAACTGAAAAGATAAGAAATGTTTTTAAACTGAGATTATCATGCCTTGAAACTACGTGACCAACGCAATGAAAAGAAAATTTACGGGATACATAGACATACCGTCCGTTTCGGGCTCAGAGGCTGAAAGTTCCGGGTGCTTGAGCCGTAGCCTAGAGGTTGCTCTAGGTGCTACGCCCTACAGTGGATTGAGTCAATAAGAGAGGTCGGACAAAGTTTGGAAACTTTAGAAGCTTAAAAATCCGTTTATACAAAATTTTGAGGTTCTGAAGTGGTCCCATTGGTTTTCTCGTGAATTTCTCTTCTAGGTGCACCCCTTGGAGTTTAACACGTGACAAAATAAACATAAAAATTTGCAGTTTTAGTAAACAATTTCATGGCCGACCCCTCTAATTGACTCCATCCACTGTGCGCCCGGAGCTTTACGCGAACGGTATGTCTGTGTGAGTGTATAGCCCTAAGTGCGGCTTCCTCCACGACCAGAGTTCTTTTTTCCAGTACATTTATAAATGCGGAGCAAGATCATAAAGGAAACTGGATCGTTCAGGATCGATTGCAAGGGTCCATAATAGGAGTTGTAACAGGAATAGAGGAGTTGGCGCGACTCTTGAGTATTTCCCAGTCCCCAAATTACATGGCTCGTGTGCGTGTCACTATTTCGATACCTTATCTTTTGTACTCGATACACGGGTGCCCATCCATTCGATGTAAACAAAGAGGTTATTAATTATTGCGTATTATACATCGCCATTTTGTATCGAAAATGTATCGAAAAGGTGACCGAATCTCAGCGCACAGGAAGCTCGGAACTCGTCACTAGAACAAAACCTCAGCTCACTTTATTATATTACAACTTTATGTACTCTATGCAAGGATCTTAGAAATTGATGCTTCAATTGCAAACATGACTATTTTGCGGCATTATTCAAATAAATACTTATACCCTCGAAACTAAAACTTCTTGAGGTTCAAAACGCAGCACTTTTTTCTTTCACCTCGATATGGATACAAATCGTTCGGAATGTACTTTTAATTGTTCTGCGGACAAATTATTGGAATTTCGTGTTTGTTAGGAAGTACAAAAACATGATGATTAAAGGCGCAAACTTGCTCAGTTTTTCTTATTTACACTAGGTAAATAAAACTGGTGCCTCGGTATTCACAAAACATTTTGAGAGGCAAATTACTTGAAGCTCCGTTTGTTTTCTGTATTGTAGGATGCTCATACATACAGGACTTATTATGAAATGTGTGAGATCCTATAGAAAACGGAGACATTCCTTTATAAGTATACTTTGCTGTTTTTCAAAGAGACCTGAAATTATTTTCTGCGCTTTAAAAAAAGGGGGAGCATTTCGGCAAAATTGGGGAGTTCTCAGCAAGAAGAAAGCAACAGCTGCGCTTGCTCGTAAAAATGTGTGGCGGAATTCGGCATTCATTCTCATGAAAAAGTAGCAATATTTTAATTTGTATACTTCCTAGGTTATTTTTTATATACTTGGCGACAAGAGAATTTAATTTGGTTGGGAAACAAGTGCTAATTTTTATTTAATTTAAGTTGAATTCTCTCTGCATAGACTGAAAAAATAGCTGAATTAAACATAGGACGGGAGCCAGTGACCAGTAGTTGTTTTGCTTTGACCACGCGAAAGTGAAACTTACTTCATGAAAAGAACCAAACTGTACTTGGTACCATTTTCGTAAAAACTGCCAGAACATGAATGATAGATACAGATTAAAGTCAGCCTGCCGCCGGCTGAAGTTAACACTTCGGACTAATATTTAAAAAAACATGGATGTAGGATACAACTTACTTGAAATTCAGACAGCTAAGAAGAACTTCGACTGACTTGTAAACAGCTTTTCATCCCATTTTATAGGTGAGATTTTCAAACTGAAATTTTCCTTCTCTTTGTCTTGTAATCCCAAAATCTCAGTAAATGTCAAGGTTCGAGAAAGAGAAAATCAAGCCACAAACAATTGCTACATTTGTGTAAGATATGCAAATTTGAAATGAAGCTGAAGGACTCTAACTTGAAAGACGGTACCATGATCGTTATCTATCGGGTTTTCTTGTGAGAGAAAGCACTCAGATAGAAATTTTCAATCCTAGTTATCCCTCAAAGGGTGCATGGAATTTGACAAGAAGCCTTTCAGATATGTTTCAAAAACTGAGGGAACACACAGAAAAATTTCAATGCAAAAGTTTCGTTAATATGGGAAGTGAAACGCAAAATGTACCTCGCCTTAGGCCTGACAATTTCGCTAGTTTTCTTGGAGAAATTTAATTAACAAATAGTGAATATCAACGTCGCAATCGGAAGAATGCATTGTCCTAGTCTCTCTATGGTTTGATGCGCTAAACTCACCGCAAGCTGTACCAAAATCAACACATTTACGTTGGTTTTTGTTCCACTTTCTATATTAACCAAAACGAATATGGAATGCGGCAATCACATAACTCGGTTAGCGACGTAGTAGACTTCCTGTCATACTTTATTTTTTGAACAAAAAACTACTCAACGGCAATTCTTGGAAAATGCCGTGATTTTTCTTCTCGGTGCGAAGAAAATTCTGCAAAAACTTCAAGGAATGATGTCAATTAGTTCTCTTTTGAAAAATAACACGGAGGCGGAGATTTTCAGACACCCTAAACGAGATATGTGATTGCGGACTTACGCCGTCGAAAAGTAACACAAGAACCCACATATTTTCAAAGGTGTATATAGTCGGAGTTTTCTTGAAAAATTACTTCACTTAGTCAAATTACTTTTCTTAGATTTTCTCCATGAGCTTGGTGCTTGGAGTAAGGAAGAGAAGTTTTGGGGGTTATCTATATGATTAAAACTGTAAGGGTTGAAACCTTGTGATCCATAATTCTGAGGACCCATCGGACCGATTTCCTTGATTTTTGTTGCAAACGAAAGCTGTTTATGTCAAGATGACACCAAAAATACGAAAGTTTCGAAATCTGCCCTTGAAAGTTTTCCTGGAGCTTTTCAAATGTGCATGCCCTAATCTCTCTCATGAGAGTGACCTCGCCCTGGTAAAAATTGGCGATAGGAGCTGCGCTTCAAAATACCATAGGAGTTCTTATATCCGACAGAAGAAGGCAATAGAAAATCATATAGCTGGCTGGAGAAAGTGGAAAAAATCTTACGGCCGGGCTACACGAAGAGCTAAAACATTATACAGCCGGGCTATAGTTCCTATCGCCGGGCTTTACACTTTATCGCCTGGCAGTTGCTTTTTCGCCATCGGCTATAAAAGGCTATAAAAATTGTGAAGAAATTCGTGTGCTTTGTAAATTCTTAAGTTGTACGGAATCACCTTAATATTTACAAAACGCACATTATATTTTCCTTTACTACATATTTTTTTTTTTTCATCAATTAAAATTAGATTAATCCATACAGAGTGTGCAAACATTTCAAAGTAATGAGTTGAAAAACGCTGACTTCACGAGATTAAATATTAGAGCCTAACACAAAGCGGAGCGGCGGTGCACTGGCGCCTACAAACCTAACAGGGATACTTCACGCATTGCGTAATGCGTGAAGTATCCCCGTTAGGTTTGTAGGCGCCAATGCGCGTTTTGCGCTGGCTGCCCGTCCGCCGCGCCGAGCCGCAGCATACCACGGCGCTTGAAGCAACTATTTCACACCAGAGGTATTGCACAGTATCATACGAAATTGAAGGCGCTCCAACATATTAGGAATGGCAGGCATCCTTCAAAAGTACGGAGCTTTCCTCGCAAAATAAATCAAGGTACTATGGCCCAAAAAGAGAGCGGTAGTCCAAAACTTACTAAGTCCTAGCATCCGTAATTAGTAACGTTTAGCATACACTTCATCGCCGGGCTGTTGCTTAATCGCCATCGGCTATAAAAGGCTGTAAGAAATTGTGTTGCCGGCTGTAGAAGCTATTGGAAATCTTACAGCCGACTGCTGGTCTATGGTATTTTGGAACGTAGATTCTACTGCCAATTTTTACCAGGGTGTGTATGCGTCATTCTATACAAGCTACTTGCTGATTGGTTCATCTCTCCTCACTTCTCAGGAAAGGTTTAAATCACTGAAAAGAACGTCTGTAAACACCACTCACGTTGCACCAACGCTGTTGGTTGATTGGCTAACGCTTGAAGTTACCGCGCATTCCCAGCGTCAAGAAATTTACTTCATCGGCGATTACAAGGATTCGATCAACTAATGCGCAGTTGTGTCTCTCGTAAAATTTTACACAGGAATAAGTGCTCAAATCGCAAATCCCTCACACATGCAAGAGTTTCATCAATTTGAAATCCCCAAACATCCAAAAACCCCTACCTCTTCCTTCTTCGTGACGCATTTTTTATAGGATGCGATTTCAGGGAGATTAAACAGCTGTTCACATCATTACCTGCAGATAATATTCTCTAAAATGCACGGAATTTCATGAAACCAGAAAAATACCATGAAACCATTTCACGGGGTATTTCTTCTCCATTTCTGAATGTATGATGTTGAGTAGATACGTTGATATCGCCGATACTGGATATGTTGACATCTTTCATGATAAAAGTTATGAATATATTGGACCAAATTCACACGGTTCAACTTTTCATTCAACTGTTTTTAAGCTTTTGTAGAATGAAAGTGTAATACTCACACGAGAACGCAACAATTGGAAGAAAAGTTGAAAAGAGACTTGAATGTTACGTCCTCTCCAGCTTTCCGTTCATCTTTCCATTGGATGGTAAGTTGAGTGGAAATTTGAAAAAAAAAATCTGCCGATCGATACTAGCCGAAGCTGTATGTTTGCAAACCAGTGACGTGCCGTGTTTTGCCATTTATAGATTGATCTGCCATATAAATCTATGGAAATGAATCGATAAACAGAGTGTTCGCAAGGAACACCGTAATATACCCTGCTAGCACGAGTCGGATTGAAAATGTTTTTAAAATGTGTCATTGATCTGAAAACATATCTTTGAAACATTTCAATGAAACATCTTGAAAACATACCATGTGTCCAAGTAGTTTTGAAAAGGTCTCTAAATCAACTCTATGTCACCCCTAAATTTTCTTTCACAGAAACGTCCGATGGATGTTTCCCATAAACACATTTCAGTGAGGTATCAGCCCCATATATTCGTCGCAGAAACATTCTGGAAACATTTCGGTGAGAGGCATGACCATAATCTATCTTTTACCATAGCTTCAAATGATCGATCATCACGCTTCTCCACTGTTGTGAACCAGAAGTTGACAAGATGAAGTTTAATCTTGATCATCAAACAAGCGCTCTAACCACCATCTGAAAGGAAATTGGCATTTTTGGGCATATTTTTATGCCAAAGTGCTGTTTATGAAGCTCCTTTCTGGAGCAACGCATCAACCCAGTAAACCGTTTTTTGGCGCGTATACGTAGTATACCGCCTTTGCGATCGTTTCGACCCCCCCCTCGATACAATAACCGAGTCCCCTAGTTCCTTACCGAAAAGTGACTACCGCGAACTTCTGAGATTTTCCAAAGCGTGTAAAAAGTTTACTAATCCGTCAATAATAATGATTAAAATTTGTTTCTCATTCTGGGGCTCGCTAGTTTATGTGTAATGAATACCAAGAGTCTACGTTTCTTGGTTTTTTTTAAAAAAACCTTAGAATGGGGCGCGCTGATTTAAAATATGCATATATAAGCGGAAGCAAGCGAACTGATTCGAGGATGGCTGACCAGTTCGGCACTCCTTGAATGAGAATTTCACTCACTCCGTTTTGTTCACAACGTTGCTTTGACATATCTCCACAACACTGTTATCCTTTTCAAAAGTTGGTACTCCTTGCTCTGATAGCCGGGGCCACCAGGATAGTGGTAAGTGCAATCTGTGATGAGCCTCGAGACTCATTAGACCATTTGCTAAACGTGGCTCATACAGGAGTCCACTAAGCCCTCTCGTCCCCACGCTCCTGATCACTGCGTCGGCGTCACGAAGAACAATGGGCCTTGGGTCCCAACGCGGCCGATACCCGTACCCCAATTACTCACGCTTCATTAACCATTTCACCGTCACGCTAGGATTCATCCAATTTTCAAAAAAAAT